TATATAACTCCTTGACAAAGTCCCATCTAACAATGGTCAGTTTATGGATTTCTCCAAGCATCCCGCAAATGCGAAGCCATGTGCTGGAAAGCCTGAAGGGAGGTCTGCCATCTTGAAAAACAAGAGTATTCAATGCGAAAGTGTGCCAACCATTGATGAAGTCCTTTGCCAGGATCACAGATGATGTGAGAAGAACAAAGACTTTGACTCTTCCTCCTGGAATCAAACTGGCTGCCAGAGTAAACCAAACATGGGGAAATTAAGTCTCTGTCCTCCATTTCAGGAGATGGTGGAGCCACCCTGGTAACATCCCTGATCCAGGGAAGAGTCTTGCTCTCCTACTCCCCTGAGACCTTCCAGGACATCCTGGATTCTATTCTGTTAACCCCCAAGGCCTCTGTTCTGGAAACTTGGTCCCTGCCTGTTTGGGCTTTGCTTTTTGTTTATAATTTTACCATCTCCTCACATTTCTTCAAACCCTGTAATCTAGGGGTTTTTGGAACATCCAAGGATTTCCAAGCCAGGAGGTAGCAGGGGTGCTATCCTGAATTTTCAGGTGTTCCTCACTTAGAAGATGACCTGCCTTGAGAATGCTAACCTGCGGTCTGATTTTCCCAGAGGCCTTTGGGTTCCTGCCTGTTGGGGGGTTCCACTGGGAGGCCATGGCCCCTGGCTTTTCTAGCCCTGTTGCCTGGGGCCCCTCAAGCCCTCTCAGGGATTCCAAGCCTGGAAGGGCCTGTCCTGGGTTTCAGGCCGTGACTTCCCAAGAACGTGACTAGCTCAAGGGTGCCAATATCCTCCTGGGTCTTTGGAGCCACTTGAGGGTCCAGCCTTTGAACTCTCCTGGCAGCTTTTTGAGGTTCTTGAGTCTCTGACAGGTAACTATGAAACTGCTTTTGCTCTGCAGTAACTAGGAAACTCAGTTTTAACGAGAAGGCCAGAGAGTGGTCATCAGAGAAGTTAACTCAAATTTAGAATAGTTTTAATTTCCATGCAGGTAGGATTCACTCTTCTTTGCAAGTGACTGGAATGATTTCGCAACCTTGCTTTCAGTGTCTCTTGCATTATGGGGTTATGGCTAATCTTTCCACTGTCCTGTCCTTTGCAGGGCAGGCATGCATTACCTGTTAATTTATTTCCTGCTCAGGTAATCCCACAGGATTTAATACAATCATGTATACCTATTTTTTTTTTGGGGGGGGGGGAATATCCTTGCCACATATACCATGCTTTCAGTTTACCACTAAACATCACAGTAAACCATTTAATTTGTGTCAGGTAACTTTGAGTATTCCTCCTCATAACAGCCTCTGACCATTGGACAGAATGCTACTGAAGAGGTTCCACAGCTTTGGGCAGAAGAGAAGGAAGTTGCTTAATGCTACTGAGAGCCTGGGACTTGCAATCCATATGATGAAGGTGGACTGATGAGGCCTGGGTTCAAATCCCAACTCAGACTTGACACACAGGAGCATTTGGTTTAACTTATCTCACAGGATTGCTGTGAGGATGAAACGTAACAGCACACCCTTCAGTAGAGACACCACAAAAGAAGATAATCAAGAGGTGGCTGCACGGCTAAAAAGGGTTGTCACAGCCTGCCCAGCAACAGCTCACTGTCACTCCTACAGCTTCACAGCAGCACAGGAGTAGTCTGGGCGGGGTGCAAAGAGAGCTTGCAGCTTCCTGCAGTAGGGCAGGGGCAGGAAGACAGCTGGCCACACAACCAGAAGTGACATCACTTCCCTCCCCCTCCACAGCTTCTACTTGCTGCTTCACCAGTCATTGAGCAGTCAGGCTCCCAGTAGAGCGGGGTCCAGGACAAGAGCCAGATACCCAAGGTTGATGGCAGAGGCGAAGAGAGAGACTGCCACAGGCAGCAGGAGAAGCTTCAGTCCGGGTGTGGAAGCGCTCCAAGGACAAGGACCGCTGCTTCCTGCAGCCCAGCACTGGACTTGGAGGGGGAAGAAAGGACCCGCCCAGAGGAAAACAGCAGCTGTCTTGGACTGAGGGAGTGCCCTGTGCCATTTGGACACCTTGTCTGCCAAAATGAAGAGACCCTGATGCCTTTGTAAGACAGAACCTCTGTCCCTGATTGTGTTTGCCCAGGCCAATTTGAGAAAACACACAAAAGCAGTCCTGTAGAGTTGGAAACCAAAAAATAATTTATTAATTAATAAGGAAGAATACAGATTCAAAGGTTTTGGAACCTTGAATACCCAACAGATTCTTCAAGTGTTACAATGGGTGAAATAGCATTTTATACTTCACATTACATCAGAGAAATAAAACAGAATTATTGGTTCCATCAAACATTGTCAAATTTCATCACCCATTTCCCATTGGGTTAAGACTGGGGTGGGGGGGTTGTTCCCAGGCAGAGTTCTTCTTTTCCTAACAGAACAATACACTTTTCTTTCGGAAGCTATGAAGTTGCATGTTGTATCTATATAACTGATATGGTTACAGAGGGCTTACTGTTCTTCATTCTAGCTAGATTAACTCACATTAGAAACATGCGCAGTTGTAGCTGGCCAGAACAAGCAAGGTCATGGGTAGCATAACTGTGTATCAGCATTTCAGCCTTCTTCCCAGCACGCATTCAAACAACAGTCACAAATGAACCAAAGTTAATATCTGAATACATTCATGATGTCAGAATCATATGCATTATGGAAGTACTAAGCAAGCACACCTACCAAGTCAAACCTGTTAGGCAGTGGCAGAGTACAAAGTGGTTCATAAAATGCATACAACACCTTCTTTCCCATTGACTTGTGTCACTTGCTATGATGTATCTGTCCACGTTCCCCAGCCTTCTCAGGACTCCCTCCCACAGGTACGTTTTAAAATGAAACTCCCCACAGGAAGAGAAACCTTTCATACAAACAGGCATCTCAACACATTGAAAACAGCCTCCCTGCACGCACACAAGCAAGCCAAAGGAGGAAATCTTACATCACAAAAAGGGGATGCAAGGGGGAGGGTTAAACACCCCCTTCCATTGGCACTGCTCCCCCATTCCACATCTGCCCCCACAGCTGTGTTGAACAAAACTTGAAAGGGTGTGGGGCTGCTGACAAATGACTTCCAAACGTCTTATCTAGTCTTCCCTCCGGAAGCAAGAAAGAATGAGCTGGGGGGCATCTTCCTCTCCACAGCTGGCAGGGATTGGGGGTGGGAGAGTGAGAAAAAAGGGGGTGAAGGCAAGATTAAGGGGAGTTAGCAGTTAGATCTCTTTTTTAGTCCAGAACTGTTATTATTTAATATGTGAAATGGGATCTTGGCCTTTTGAAATCAGCTAGAACAGAAAGAGGGAATGCTGGGAAATGGAGGGAAAAACTTAATTTTATTTATCAGTTTTGCTGATTGGGACCCTGGAGAAGACCTCTGCAGAGCTATAAAAAGGAATCTTTTTAAATTCTATTTTTACAAACAGGAAAAAAGATTTTTTTGTTACAATATATTATTTCAATTATACATATAACACAGTTGATCTTCTTGCAGAAACATTGGTATAAACATAGACAAACATCTGTAAAACATAAGAACATAAGAGAAGTCAATGTTGGATCAGGCCAAAGGCCCATCCAGTCCAACACTGTCACACAGTCCACAGTGTTCCCTCTAAGCTGAGTTAGTGCAAGCTAGCTCACAGTTTTTTAGCCTCCGGCTCACACATTTTTGTCTTAGCTCAGGAAGGATGACTCCAGAGCAAACTAATTTATGCAGTAGCCAAATCACTTGCTCACAATTTTAATGCCAGCTCACAAAATAGAATTTGTGCTCACGAGACTCCACAGCTTAGAGGGAACAGTGCTGATGGACCTCTACTCCATATGTTTATCTAATTCCCTCTTGAAGATGTCCATGCTTGTAGCCACCACCACCTCCTGTGGCAGTGAATTCCATCTGTTAATCACTCTCTGGGTGAAGAAGTACTTCCTTTTATCCGTTCTAACCCGACTGCTCAGCAATTTCCTTGAGTGCCCACGAGTTCTTGTATTGTGAGAAAGGGAGAAAAGTACTTCTTTCTCTACCTGCAGTATCCCATGCATAATCTTGTAAACCTTGATCATGTCACCCCTCAGCCGCCGTTTCTCAAACCTAAAGAGCCCCAAGCGTTTTAACCTTTCTTCATAGGGAAAGTGTTCCAACCCTTTTATCATTCTAGTTGCCCTTTTCTGCACTTTTTCCAATGCTATAATATCCTTTTTAAGGTGTGGTGACCAGAACTGCACACAGTACTCCAAATGAGGTTGCACCATCGATTTGTACAGGGACACTATGATACTGGCTGATTTGTTTTCAATTCCCTTCCTAATAATCCCAAGCATAGCATTGGCTATGTAATATTACTGTCTTATTAATAGCTCCAGTGTGAAATGACTGTCTCAACAGAGTTGGAGGTGGCCTCCTAAACGCACCCAAAAGGAGGGCAGGAGGGTCTCTCCAGAGAAGGAGGCTCCAGAGAACTCGTAGAGAAGGGCTGCTCGGTCAGCATCGAAAAAGGCCACTCGCCCCCCAAGGTAGTTCAGGCACACCCGGATCCTCTTGAGCTCCCCACTCATGGTCAGGTGACCGTCTTCTATTGAAGCCCAGTAGCCACCCTCATATTTTCCCATCTCCCAGAACCCTTCTTTAGGATTAAAGGTGACATCTCCCTTCCTCCTCACAGATTTTCTGGCAATCCCCACAACCCATTCTTCCACACTTCCCACAAGGATTTCCCAGAAATGGCGACCTGCTGTGAATCCCTCAAGGCCCAGGACATAGGAATATTCAGCAAATCTCTCAGGATTGTCGGGCACAGCTTGAGCCTTTTCCCCTACTCGCACAGTTTTCTGATCCTCAGAGAGGATGAGTTCAGGATGGGCCGTGTCCAGATCCAGAATCACATTTGCTGTTGGGGGGTGGGGAGGAGACAGAAATGAAGCAGATTCAGCTGGGAGACAAACAGCAGAGTTCTTTGCCACCCCCACCTGACACTACTGCTAGTGTCCCAGGTATGTCCATTCCCTGTAGATCTCCCTGACCTGGTTGGTTGTTTAAAAATTTCTCCTACTGTGGCTTATTCTGTTTTCCTTTTCTTCTTTTTAATTTTAACCCTTGGCTGGACTTGCAGGTCCTCCTTCCTTCCCCTGCCCTATGGAGGGAAGAACAGGCTTCCCGGACTTTGAGGGACAGTGAGAACCCAGGTAAATAAAGCCTGTCCCCCCTTATCCTCTATCAAAAAAGCACCCTGAGAGAGAAGCATAGATCTCATCCACCATTATGAACAAAAGCCCTGATTAGAATTTCACCATCTGATTGGAATTCACAAAAAATATCCTTCTCCAAACCCTAAACCAACCTGTAGTTATTTGTTTTAATATATATATATCCCTCCTTTCCTGTCATTCCAGATGTCTCCCTTAAAGCAAAACCATAAACACCCCCTTAATAGTTTCTGTGCTTCACAGTGTAGGTAACTTGGGGGATGGAAAGAGAGTGGAACTTACATTCTCTTGAAACTTTGTGTGTGTGAACCAGATACCTGGGACTTCTAGAGAGAGTCAAAGGCTTCATGACCATGCTTCAACTGACAAATGGAAATACTTCTTTACTCATCAACTGGTGAGTAAAATGTGGAATCTCCTGCCAGAGGATGTAGTGAGGGCCACAGGCATAGTTGGCTTTAAAAGGGGGATTAGACAGATTCATGGAGGAGAGGTCTGTCAGTGGCTGCTAGCCCTGGGGACTAAAGGGAACCTCCACATTAAGATGTTTTGAGGGACAAAACAGGAATGTCCAGGGAATCTTATCCCTGGAGAAACACCAAGTAGAAGAACACAGATTGTGAAGGGAAGCCTTTTAGTTTATAAATAATTGATTTGTGCAGGAAATGTACCTTTTTGCAGGTGAAGTCCAGAATTCAGATTGTCTGAGGAAGGGAATGAAACAGAAAATAAACAATCAGTTAACAACATTTTTTCTCAGTTTTAGCTGAAGGGTGAAGTGGAAGCCACTTCAGGGATGTAAAGGTAAAGGTTCCCTTGCTCGAAAGCCAGTTGAATCTGACTCTAGGGTTGCGGTGCTCATCTCCGTTTCCAAGCCGAAGAGCCAGCGCTGTCCAAAGATGTTTCCGTGGTCATGTGGCCAGCATGACTAAACACCAAGGCGCACGGAACGCTGTTACCTTCCCACCGAAGTGGTTCCTATTTATCTACTTGCAATTTCTTGCTTTCGAACTGCTAGGTTGGCAGGAGCTGGAACTAGAGACGGGAGCTCACTCCGTCATGCGGCACCCGGGTCTCGAACTGCTGAACTACTGACCTTCCACAGCCTGCAGTTCAGCGTCTTAACCACTTGAGCCACGGCAGCTCCTTCAGGGATGTATCCTCCCCCAATTTTGACTGGTGTGAAAATACTCAAATTTGTTTACACTTACTAGGAATTTGCTCCCTGTTCCTAATTATGGCTGATGTTAGACTGAGAGACCACAAGGGAAAAATGGATCACATTTGGCAAACTGACACTCAACCACTAAAGGTAACAAAAAGGTTATCCAGAATTATTTGACTTACTTCCGACTCGCTTCACGGAGAGTATGCTGAGGACTGCAGCCCAATGACCCAACCCAGAGCAGCTTAGGATGTTTCCACACAGAGATTTTGTTCTGGTTTGGCATCCAACCTGGAGTGGGCTTTTGGGGAGACCCACATAATGTTGTCACCTTATCCTCCACTTTCTGGGGTTTCCACTGTTTTGGCTCTGCACTTTCCCAAATCCTGTTTGATATGATTTTTTTGAAATAATTGTTCAAAAGGTATTTTTTCATGCGGTATGGACTGAAAAGTGTGCATTTCTGAATGTCCCACCTTTTCCTTGTCTCCTCCTCCTCCCAGTGGCTGCTATTCCACCCCCCACACCTTTCTGTACTACTAGTAGTTCCTCTGAATTCCCAGCATTTATTCATTTTTAAAAGTGTCCAATTTTTCTTGTGGAGATACAAAAGAGAAGGTGAATTTCTTATGTCTCAGCCATGAAAAGGACTAGAGACTTTATTTTTTAAAAAAATCCTGGCAATGGATCATTATAATGTTATTGTGCTAGAGCTATTAGAATTTTTAAAGGGTCAGGCTGCATATTTCCCCTTATATCTATGTAAAGATTTTTAAAAATTCTTATATTTTTTAAAAATGACAATTCGAAATCATGGAAACAGATTTTTATACTGTTAATCTGTGTTAGTGATTAGTCAATTACCAATTAGGGGGGGAAACCCACCTTAAACAACTGTGGGGAGAAAGGCAAAACAGACTGGAGAGCAACAGGATAGAAGGGGACCCAACTTGGGTGTTCTTGTCTGGATTAGAGAACGGGAGGAGGCCATCACAGCATGTCTCATCCAGAATTTGGTCCAGAATGCTCAGCCCTCCCTTGGTTCAAATCAGCACAAGAACTTATCGATTTAGAACATTTCTCCAAGAAACTGCTCATGGGAGAATCATTTGCTGAGGTAAATTTTCCAGAACAGTTTCTAGCAAAGATAATTACTTGTTTCTCTCCTGACATTCTTCAAGACGTTCAAGGAAGCAAAGATGGAGTTCTTGGTGGACTTCCAGTCAGGTATTGGTTATCTTTCTTCAGAAACAGATTTTTTCCTCATGTAAGAATTCATGTACGGAAGCAAACTTTCTCTTGTTAGACATCGAGAAGGCCTTTATAGATAGGGGCTCTGGGGCAAGTGATGCTCTGTCTTCTTGGTGCTTGGGGGGGGGGTCATAAGAACATAAGAGACGCCAATGTTGGATCAGGCCAAAGGCCCATCCAGTCCAACACTCTGTGTCACACAGTGGCCAGAAATACCAGGGGCCATCAGGAGGTCCTCCAGTGGGGCCAGGACATTAGAAGCCCTCCCACTGTTGACCCCCCCCCCAAGCACCAAGAAGACAGAGCATCACTTGCCCCAGAGCCCCTAGCTATACCTTGTGGCTAATAGCCACTGATGGACCTCTGCTCCATATGCTTATCTAATTCCCTTTTGAAGCCGTCCATGCTTGTAGCACCCACCACTTCCTGTGGCAGTGAATTCCATGTGTTAATCACTCTTTGGGTGAAGAAGTACTTCCTTTTATCCGTTCTAACCCGACCGCTCTGCAGTTTCATGGAGTGCCCACGAGTTCTTGTATTGTGAGAAAGGGAGAAAAGTACCTCTTTCTTTACCTGCTCTTTCCCATGCATAATCTTATAAACCTCGATCATGTCACCCCTCAGTCGTCTTTTCTCCAAGCTAAAGAGCCCTAAGCGCTTTAACCTTTCCTCATAGGGAAAGTGTTCCAACCCTTTTATCATTCGAGTTGCCCTTTTCTGCACTTTTTCCAAAGCTATAATATCCTTTTTAAGGTGTGGTGCCCAGAACTGCACACAGTATTCCAAATGAGGTCTCACCATTGATTTATATAGGGGCATTATTATATTGGCTGATCTGTTTTCAATACCCTTCCTAATAATCCCCAGCATAGCATTGGCCTTCTTTATTGCAGTCACACACTGTCTCGACATTTTCAGTGAGTTATCCACTACAACTCCAAGATCTCTCTCTTGCTCAGTCTCTGCCAGTTCAGACCCCATCAATGTGTATTTATATTTAGGATTTTTGGCTCCAATGTGCATCACCTTGCACTTGGCCACATTGAACCCCATTTGCCATGTTGACGCCCACTCGCCCATCCTTGACAGATCCCCTTGGAGTGCCTCACAATCCTCACTGGTTTTCACCACCCTGAACAACTTTGTATCATCCGCAAATTTAGCCACTTCACTGCTTACTCCCATCTCCAAATCATTAATGAACAAGTTAAAAAGCAGTGGACCAAGTACTGATCCCTGCGGTACCCCACTGCTTACCACCCTCCACTGAGAAAATTGCCCACCTACACTCACTCTCTGTTTTCTATGAACTAGCCAGTTTTTGATCCATAAAAGGACTTGTCCTTCTATCCCATGATTTTTGAGCTTACTTAGGAGCCTTTGATGAGGAACTTTATCAAAAGCTTTCTGGAAGTCAAGGTAAATAATATCTATTGGATCCCCCTTGTCCACATGTTTGTTCACCCCCTCAAAGAACACTAACAGGTTAGTGAGACAAGATCTTCCCTTACAGAAACCGTGCTGAGTCTGCCTCAATAGGTTTTGTTCATCTATGTGCCTACTAATTCTTTCCTTAATAATGGTTTCCACCAATTTACCCGGTATCGACGTCAGACTGACTGGCCTGTAATTTCCCGGATCTCCTCTGGAACCCTTTTTAAAGATGGGAGTGACATTTGCTACCTTCCAATCCTCAGGAATGGAGGCAGATTTTAAGGAAAGATTACATATCTTTGTCAGGAGATCTACAAGTTCACATTTGAGTTCTTTCAGAACTCTCGGATGTATGCCATCTGGGCCTGGTGATTTTTCAGTTTTTAAGTTGTCTATCAGTTTTAGGACCTCCTCTCTCGTCACCTCAATCTGACTCAGGTCTTCCAACACCCCTCCTGAAATCAGTGGTTCTGGAGTGGGCAAGCACTTCTCATCTTCCACAGTGAAGACGGAGGCAAAAAATGCGTTTAGCTTCTCAGCCATTTCCCTATCATCCTTCAATACTCCTTTTACCCCTTGGTCGTCCAAGGGCCCCACTGCCTCCCTGGCTGGTTTCCTGTTTCTAATGTATTTGAAGAAAGTTTTATTGTTGGTTTTTACGTTTTTTGCTATATGCTCCTCATATTCCCTTTTTGCCTGCCTGACCTCAGACTTGCATTTTATTTGCCATAGCCTGTGTTCCGTTTTATCAGCCTCACTGTGACTAGCTTTCCACTGCTTAAAGGAATTCTTTTTACTTTTTACAGCTTCCAACAACAGTGGGAGGGCTTCTAACAGTGGGTCAACAGTGGGAGGGCTTCTAATGTCCTGGCCCCTTCTGGTGGACCTCCTGATGGCACTGGTATTTCTGGCCACTGTGTGACACAGTGTTGGACTGGATGGGCCTTTGGCCTGATCCAACATTGGCGTCTCTTATGTTCTTATGTTCTTATGTTCATCTCTCTTGAAATCTCATATCTATAGGAGCTACTATTACATATGGGCTTTGGTGAGAATTTCCTCAGCTTAATACAGCCCATCTAAGCCCAACCTTCAGCACATGTAAAAGTCAACAGTGTGACCTCTGATCTTATCTCACTTCACCGGGAACCCGGCAAGGAGGCCCCTTATCTCCCTGCTCTTCGCCATGGTCCTGGAACCTCTCATTGCAGACATAAGAAACAACTCTGAAATACAAGGAGTTCATATGCTGCCCCACATCTTCAAAATAAGCATGTTTGCCAACAACTTGCTTTTATACATCACAAAACCGAAATATTCCCTCCCTCATCTACAAGACACCCTTTCAGCATTTTGCAAGGTTTCTAGTTTGAAAATTAATCAATCTAAATCCTGCATTCTACCCATCAATTTATCTCCCAGTGCAACAGAACATCTTAAAAGATCCTATGATTTTCAATGGACAACCACCTACCTCTTATATCCTGGAATCCACATTCCTCCAGATCTCAGCAACTTGTTGAAACATAAACATCTCCTGAAGCTTCAAGAAATACAATTTGATCTAAGCAAATGGGACAAACTCACCCTCTTCTGGCTGGACAGCTTTCATTTAATCAAATCATTTGTCCTTCCTAAAATACTATTCCTCTTTCACACTATCCCCATTGCTATACCTCTAAAGATATTAAATCAATGGCAATCCACACTCAATAGGCCCCTATGGCAAAACAAGTGCCCCAGAATAAATTTTTAATACGTTGCAGCACCGTAACAAGAAAGGAGGACTCAGCTACCCAGACATTGTCACATACTACAAATAATCTCTACTGTCAAACGTGGTCCAAATGCTGAGGACAACAGACCAACCCTACTGGATGAAGTCACTACAACCACTGCTCTCCCAGGTGTCCATATATGACGTGATATGGAATCCTCAGAGATCTTGTTCAGCCTCAGTCAAACAAAATATGTCCTCTCTGCAATGCTCCAGATCTGGGACTCCAATAGGGCCAAACTGATCCCGAAGACTTCACAATTCTCCTCATTCCTCCACCAAGATTGGTTCCCTGCAGGTAAAGACTCTCATATACTATTTATTTATTTATTCTTCACAGGACTTTTTTTGTAGAAAAAGCCCAGCAGGAACTCATTAGCATATTAGACCACACCCCCGACAGCACAGCTCATTCGCCTATTAGGCCACACCCCCATGTTACCAGAAGTGTGGTCATCCAGCCACACCCACCTTTTGCTTCTTATTCTCTTTACCTTGTTGTCAAAACCCAGGGCTTTTTGCATGTTAGGCCACACACCCCTAATTGTAGCCAATCCGAATGAGTTTCTGCTGTTGGGTGTGGCCTATTATGCTAATGAGTTCCTGCTGGGCGTGGCCAACTTGGGAGCCAGCCGGAACTCCGTTCCTACCCAAAAATAGCCCTGATTCTTCATTTTTTTTACCCCGCCCTCCCGGCCGAAGCTGGCTCAAATCTGGCACCAAGCTAATGCTTGATTTACATTTCCTCCAAAACTGGAATTCTTTCGAAATCGGAATTGGAACGCAAAATTCAGCATAACTTCCCCTGGTACCTTTACCTCCAGCGTTGGCACATGATGGATCATCTCCAGCTTCCATCTATCCTACATACTCCCATGTCTGATTTTGAGATACTATTGAATAACACGGATTCAGGATGCAAAGGTCTCATTGCAAAGCTATATAATTCTTCAATTAGATGGCAAAAGCTCTCTGAGCTATCAGTCTCCTTGGCAACAAGACTGCAACATCACCCTGACTCAAGATCAATGGACTATGGTATGGACCTCCTCTGTTCACTTCTTCAGTAATCTCCACTAGACTACAAGATAATAAAATTCTAACAAGGTGGTACCTCACCCACTAATAACATCATCACACTCACCACTCTGTTGGGAAAACTGTGGAGAAATAGGCACTTTCACTCATTGCTGGTGGCAATGCAAGTTTATAAAAGCTTCTTGATGGAAGTTGTTTCACAAATCACCATCATAACAGGCTATAGGATCCCACTATCGCTGGAGATTCTGTTCCTTAACTACTGGCAAGATTACTCTCTTCCTAATATCAGATGTGAACTAATCATTAGCCTACTAGGAGCAGCTAAAACCACAATAGCTTTGCGATGGAAATCCACATCCACCCCTACATTGTCTCTTTGGTACAAAAAGGTTTGGGACCATTTCATAATGAAAAAAATAACTGATGGTCTTCACCAAACGGAAATTTATCCCAAGGCAACAGGATTTGTGGAGAAATGGTTTCCATTCCTAGACCACACATCCAAAAATGACATTCAACCTATGGATCCAACCTATTTAAAGCTGATTCAATTTTGATCCACTCCGCTTCAGCTCCACATGTCACTTCAGTGATACTTCTGCTGGGTATGCTGTTCAACTGTGTATCAACTGTGCATCTTCTAATAACACTACTATTACTTCTCATTTATCTATTACATACTTTGCCTCCTCTTTCTGTTCCTCAACTACACATAATTTACCCCCTGATTACTGTTAAGGCTTACTATAATGTTTGTAACTGGTTTCTGATTCCATGCTTGTAATTACTTTATAAAATACCAATAAATATATATTGGGGGGGGGAGAGAAACAGAATTTATCACAGTAGCATCCTATGCAGAATGACACCCTTATAAAGCCCACTGAGTTATTTTTATATTTATATATATATTTATTGAGTTTTACGAATGATAAACACACACCACATTAACACAAAAACCAAACAAACGTATACATAGACTACCGCTATTTTCTACTTACAGCAACACTACTTATTTCTTGAAAATAGAATTAAATCATTTCCCAACTAAACATGTATTCCTACAACACTTTTTAAGGTTTAGCTACACACTTATTTTTTAATTAATCTTATCATTTCACAAGAGACATTATTGTTTTTAGGTAAAGTTCTTACAACTATTCATACAATAACTATACATATTTATCCCTATTCATTACTCTTCATTGTCACAATCTATAAGTTTCCTGCATCTTTATTTTCCAATTCATTTTCCAATATTTCCTTATAGCCAAGATTTTATACTCACTTTCCCCAAAATAAATTACATCTACCAAAATAAACATTTCCAACCCCTTCTTAATTTTCATTATACTTCCATAAAAACTATATCATTCTTTAATACAATATGGATAAATGAAAACTTATAAATAACCTAGAACCCATCATAAATAAAAATCAATTTCTATATCTCATAAGACAAAAGCCAAGAAGCAATTTTTTATTAATTATAAATCAACAATAACATTTCACCCTTCATATAACTTGATTCTTTCCCTTAAAGACTCACATTAAAGCAGAAACCATGATTTCATTTTTCCAGTTAAACGAGTCAGCAAAAATAGTATTCCATCTTTTATATATCTTAGCTTTTTTCCTGTGAATTTGTAACCTATTTTTAGCCTCAATGAGTCCACATATCTTCTCTCTTTGTATGTGCACAACTTTACTTCTAAACTCCCTTCTCTATGTTTCAGCTTCTCTGTGTCCCATATTTTATCTTCAGCCTTGGGTTTCCAAGCGTATCGTTTTGGTCTCTTTCCCCCCCATTTTCTTCCTTCTCTACAGAAACTTCGTTGCAGTCTCTTTTTCTTTAGCTCTGTCTTTACATAGGATTTTCTCATTGTTTTCTTCTCCACATCTATCATTGGTGCAGGCTGGATATCAACAAGTGACTCCTTGAACTGGCAAGCCTGTTGTTCCCTATCACTCTGTGTATCCTGTACCAATTCCTCATCATTTTCCATAGCTGATTGCACACTGCGATTTTTCAATTATATTGGCACAAGCTGCCTCAGCACCTTTTCATATTCCCTCTCTCAGCAACTTCAAAATTGTTCCACAGTTAAATCTCCCACTTGCATATTATCGTCAATCTCCTCTTCCTCTATTCCCTCTTCAGGCGCCATTTTAGTTACGCAGTTAATTTCAATTTAAATAACTCAGTTTTTAATAACCATCTAAGGTATCATGTATGGTTGTAAGTACTTTCCTACAAATTTCCTTTTTTTAAATCCTCAACAAAAAGAACAGCAACGTCCATACGAATATTTCCTCCATTCCTTCTCTGGCCGCTAATCGATTCCATTTTTGGGCACAAAAATTCGGGGTAAATTTATAAAGGGTCGTCTCTTCTGTTAGGTTTGAAAACAAGCGTACTCACAAACTCACAATATTGTATAGGTTCAAAAAGGGTTATTCTTCGTCTGCGTTGCTGTAAATATTGTACTCCAAACATCGTTTAAAACAGAAGGCTGCGGCTAGTTGCAGACATGGAATCCATGCTGCACTCCTCCCGACGCTCCTGCTTCAGGGCAGTAACGATTCCCCCGCATTGCCAAGTGCAGGAGGGGTTGAAACAAAGCCCCCTGCACTGGACCTCTCTCTGGGAGGTCCAGTGGAGCCCAACCCTCATTGGGGGGCTCCAAAAGAGACAAAGGGGGATCGGGCGGCTCGGAGGAACCCGAAAGCCACCCGTCGCCACACCATACTGGAACCGGAACCCAAAGCCCACTGATTTCAATGGACCCAGAAGGTGTCCCTCTGCAGAAGAGAGCACTGTCAGCCCCCTTGAGACCATCCTGTCCGCTCAGCTAGGACACATTCAACCAAATGAAACACTCAATCCAAGGGGCCACTTCTGAGAGGTCCATTCTGGCCACAGACACAGAAGAGGGGCACGTTCCTGAAAGGGATCAGGAGGGCGTCTCCATTAAGTGAGGATGCCCTGAAGGGTCCACTTCCTCCCCTCTCTTTCCATTTGGGGGGGCCTGTTCTGCCCTGACATTTGCCCTAACAATGCATGGGCATGATCAAATGATCTAAATGCAGAACCATTGTCATAAAATCCAGATAATGCAATCGTGTGCTAAAGCCACAGGGGGAATTTTGATCAGAAAAACATTCCATGGTGAACTAAAATGGCCTTTGGAATTGGCATACAAATTCCCTGTCCATCTGGCCCTGCTAGTGAGTGACCTGGAAGGTTCCACACTCATATCTGGCCTCACCTCATGACCTCTCTGAAGCTGTTCTTTATTACCTTCCAGCTGCTTCATGACACCTTCCAGCAAGTGATTGATGTCACAGAAGTCCCAGATCCTCCACTTCAACGCAAGAGGAAAAGTCACTGGATTCTCAAACCTCTCCTTCTCTTTGTACCTGGAGACAAACCATGTTAAGCCACCACCTATCCCATCCAGAATTCTCACCAGCAGAGCAAAGAAATGAAGGCAGGAATACGCAGGGGGCCTAGAGACACCGATCAATACTGATTGCAGAGAAACAGGGGGGGAGGCCCTTTGGAGAGAGAAAAGAGTCTACCCCCTTGCAGTTACTCTTGAGATCTCAAAACCAAGCATCTTAAGGCCAAATCAGACATCAACAGGAACAGGGATTTTTTTTTGTCTAACATCAACAACCCTTCTACCCTCCTTCACCTCTGCCCAGGGAAAGAAGGAAGTTACTGTGGTGCAGTGGTTAGAGAGCTGGGCCAGGACTGGGCCCAGGTTCATTTCCCCACTCAGCCCTGCAGCACGACACATGACAATCACTGCCCACAAAAGCACCCTTTCTTCCGCTCCTTTCAATCTCCTGCAACTGGTGGGAGGCATGGAAACTTCAAGCCCAATAATGTCACATCATGCTCCGTCCTCCTCTAAAAATGCCTGGGGAAATGTACAGCAGAGAGGCAATGTTTCCAATCAGCAGCCGTGAAATCCTCTAGTTTAGTCTGAGCAACACCTCTAAGAGCTTGTGCTGTGGTGGCAGGAATGATGGCACAGGCCCCAACTTCTGCTTCCTCATGAGTAGCCTCTCTCACAGACGGTGCACCCCAGATTGGGGAGAGCCGTCATCACAGAGCTAGATGCTCAAGGGGCCCTCTAGGCAGCCCAGATGCCAACCAAGACGCCAGTTGAGCCCCGTCACATTTACCCCCTGCCATTTTGTGGAACTGAAAGAGCTGAGGTGACTAAACTCAACTGGTGCATTCCCAAGGCTGAAGGAGCTTGTTTGACAAATGAAACCACCCCTGCTTCAGCGCCAGAATTCTGCCAGAACCTTCTAGAGATGCACAGCCAGGTCTTCACCCTGACACCACCACCACCCCGCTGTTTGGGGGCACGATTTCCTGTCCAAGGGGACTGTGTTCATCCGCAGTTTGCCATTTACAAACGGATGGAGATCTTTGGTCATAGTCATGTCTGCTGTGGTACTGAGTCTGAAGGGCCACTTTCTCCACATGCTACCAAGATCCATCCCAGCATCAGGAGAGAAATGAGAGAGAGGGATCCACTTACCTCTGCAAGGTGCTTCGGATATCCTAAAAAAGGGAAAAGTCAATAACTGCCATGGGCCAAAATGGGAAGACCCCTCTCTACCTCAGATCCTGGAGAACAGTGCATTGTGTGTCCAACTCAAGGATGGGGGCTGGTTCTTTATCATAAAGCAAGAGAACTTCTTCATGAGGGAATAACATCAGCAGGCAAAGTGAAGCCATTTCAGAGGACAGGTGGGTGATCTGCTGCAGAAGATCTTGCATACAGCCTTCATTTCTGGTTGTTGTGAAGAGCTACCCACAAATCTCATTACTTGCATCTGTTGCTCAAACATTACACACACAAACATATACACACTTCAAAGATTCCTCCATCGACCATCTTCTCCTGTAGCATCCTGATCACTTAACCAATGGCTATCTCTTCTTCTCAACTAGAGTCATCCCAGAGCTTCCAATCTCCTCTTCTTCTCCTGAGTTGCAGTTTGGCCACCCCTGCAGTCTCAACCAACGGCCATCCCTTCTTCTCCACTAATGCCACCCCAGAGCTTCCTCTGGACCTTTGGTCAGTCACAAACTGCTTAAAATGGTGCCACTTTCCCTCTGAACAAGGGATGTAGCAGCAAAGAGTACTTCAATGCCTTCCTGGAACAGAGGCATCAGAGAACTCCACCCTCCCCACACCACCAACATTATGAGTCACGGCCGCTTGATTCTCAGCCTGAGCAAAGGAGGGCTCTAGAGAACAGGAGACGCTGAGAAAGGGCCTGGAGCCAGCCTTTTCCCCAAGGGGTACCTGGTCTGTTCCTGCCATACTCTCACCTGCAGGAGATCACTGGCTGGCTGCTGACACTTCTCCTCCATCTCCTGGATGAGGCTTTCCAGAGAGGAGAGTTCCTCAGAGAGTCTGACCAGGTGCTGGTCCCTGTTCCTTGCCACCTCCTTCTCCACCTCTTCCATCTGGGCCAGCAAACGTTTCTCTTGTTCCTCCAGAAATGTGTGCAGTTGCCTGAACTTGGCTAATGTCTTTTGCTTCTCTCCTGTGGTTTGCTTCTGAGAGGGGAAGAGAAGAAAAGCAGACCAACGTCAGGGACACAGCCGGTCTCTGTAGTGGGAAGAGGCACCTTAGGAGACCCCCTATCGGAAGGGCACTTCGGCCTTTCACAGAGATCACAGTGAACACAGGAAAGAGAAAGTTCCCCAAGGACCCATCCTTAAGGCCCAGGATACACATGGATTTCACTCAAATGCCTGGAGGGGCCATCTCAGCCACAGAGGATTAAATCTGTAGCAGAAGACCCAGAGAATAGAAGGGGCTTCTTCAGTCTGTTTGTTTCCCCACTAAAACACCCTCCACGTGATGACCCCCAAACTTCCCAAAAGGGGATGAGATACAACAGTTGAGTAGAAAGACCGCCGGGAAGAAAAGAGCTAAGAAGCCCATTCTCCTCACTTTGTCTCCCAGTCTAAACTGCAGCTCCCCTGGCCGCATTTTGGGCAAGAAAAACTTTAGGAGAAAAAAAATCAGCATGTTACTGAGTATCCCAACTTGGGATGGGCACAGACCAAAAGAATGGAGGTTCGTATAGGTTCGTGGTTTTCATAGACCACGGATTTTCACAAACCATCTTTTCAGAGACTTCTCCTGGCTTGCAGTGTTGGTGCATGCACACAAATGGGGCCTGGACACAGATGTTCATCTGTTGAGGATTCACCCCACAGCAGAGAGCGCCTTGGGGAGTTAACTGATTCTGCTACAAACAAAAACAGCTGAGAACAACAACAACAACAACAACAACAAAAGGGTCTAGACCTGGATGAACAAGCAGGGGCAGACTGCCCACCAGGTGGCCCATGGTGATCGCCTAGTCCCAGGAGCACCAAGAGTGTGCAGTTCCGTGGCACCCCCAGCCCAGGTATAACTGTGCTTGTAACTGCAATGTTAAGTTTACCATTGAGGGCCGGATCTGCTGAATACTGACCATCTGTGAAGGAATGTCCAAATTGGAAGGGGTGAGGGTGTCGCGTGGGTTGATTTTTCCACTATTTGGATTTTGTTTCCCCCCCAATACTAGTTCCAGAATCTCCTCACTTCCCAGCCACGGTGACACTTACAAGCAGGTCTTGGCTTTCCTTCTCCACATCTTCTCTATATGCCACAATGCTTTCTCTCTTTCTCTTCAGACTCTCCAGACAGCTGCAGAACTGATCCTGGGGGGATGGGGGGGGGCAAAATTGAGATTTTTTTTTTTCCATTTTAGAAGTTTACTATAAAACATACAAGAAGCAAAACTGCCATTAAAGGCCAAACTAGATCTAACTGCCCCATGTCTGTAACAGGATCTTTAAAAATATTTCCCAAATGCTAAACACAGCGAGCTTTCTCATGAGACTGGCCCCCCAGTTCAATGCAAACATATTCCCAATGGCCACACTGACTCCTCAGGGGAGATTGACTCCATGCTTTGCCCACCGTTCCACCCCTGCCACAGGAGGGAGGTTTTGCATTGAAAAATAATTATACATAGTCAGTACATCACTATGTTGTGTTAACAATACAGAAATATTCCCAGTAGTGAGGATTTTTTAAAAAACAGCAAAAAGCTCACTGGGGGGCAGGGGAGGATGCCAGGTGGGAGAGTAAACGGCACTGGATTGGGGTATATGTGGATATGCATACTTTCTGGTCCACCCTTTCCCAAACCTTCTTTGATGATCTTCCAAGTAAGAGCACGTCAAAGAAGGGAAAGTTCTGTGTGGAAGCAACCACAGCAGTGGGAAGGAGGGAATTTCTTCCTTCCACAGTGCAGCGGAAGGGCCACGGCTATGATGGAGCATCCGCTTGGCAAACAGAAGGTCCCGAGTTCAAGGCCTAGCATTTCCACTTGAAATGAAGAGGTAGCCGTTGATGTGAAAGACCTCCGCCTGAGTCCCTGGAGAGCCGCTGCCAGTCAGAGTGAACCCAGACACACCAAGGGTCTGACTCAGAATAAGGAAAGTTCAAGCGTAGCTCTCCCACCCCCAACTCCCAATGCTATTCTTCTGATTTAAACAGCTACCTCACAGCTGCTGCGTGCGAGGGGCCCCCACATAAAGACAGGTACCAAACCTGCGCATATTCTCCCCCAGCCCTGAGGCAAACAACAGCCCAAGGACAGCAACTGAAATTGGGAAAACAGTATGTGGGGTGTGGATGTTAAAACTGGGAGACAGTTAGCTGCTCCCTCCTAGCTCGGCCCTGCCATTGGCTGGTCAGATGTTCAGACAGCCAGAGAGCAAGTGAATTTCAGCAAGGGGGAAGGAAGCAATGCCCTAGTGAACTACCTAACCAGGAGCAAAGAGACCAAGAAGGGGAGGATCCTTGGCTCTTCCTCACCATCCTCCATGTTGTTGATTTCCTACCTCTTTTTTTCTCTTCCTGCCCCTTTCCACCTTTTTGTGGGGCAGTGATAAAACTTGGAATCTGAAATTTTAACACCATCTGAGAATGTTTTTATCTGTGAATTATTTAAATTGTTTTATTATTTATGAACGCTTTTATCATTATGTTGTTCATCGCCCCCGAGCTGTGTGTATTCAGGGTTAGGGCGGTCTATAAATTAAAATTGAAACTATAAAAAATTACCTTGTACTCTTCGGAGGCCTCCGCAAGAGGAAGGGTTTCGTGAGCTCTGTGGTCCTTGGATCGGTCGCAGACCACACAGATGAGGGCTTCGTCGTCTTTGCAGAAGAGCTTCAGCGGCTCCTGGTGCTTCCAGCAAACTCCCCCTTTTCTGGCTGCCACGACTGCCTGATGCCCAAAAGGAAGAAATAAGATTCATTTTCCCTCAGAACTGTACCTCGCCTTGTAATAACTGGATAAAATTAGTGCCTTGTTATACATATACATATATATATATATACACACATGTACATCTCTCTCTCTGGATCAAAGAGAGCCAGTTTGGTGTAGTGGTTAAGTGCGCAGACTCTAATCTGGGAGAACCGGGTTTGATTCCTCACTCCTCCACTTGCACCTGCTGATGTGACCTTGGGTCAGTCACAAGCTCTGGCACAGCTGTCCTTGAAAAAGAGCAGTTTCTGTCAGAGTTCTCTCAGCCCCACCCACCTCACAGGGTGTCTGTTGTGGGGAGGGGAAGGGAAAGGAGTTTGTAAGCCGCTCTGAGACTCCAAGTGAAGGGCGGGGTATAAATCCAATCTCTTCTTCTTCTTCTTCTTCTTCTTGGATGTAACCAAGTGTACCGCTATGAGTTTGTCCTCTGTTGGAGTTGAGGGGGGGGGAGTTATTTGGTCTTTGTGAGGGAGCTGTTAGAGGAGTACTGAAGAAAAAAGGGAGTTCTGAGCAGGGCCGCATTATGACTTTTGTGGGCCCTAGACTTTGTGGGCCCCGCCCCCTTCCTTGCCAGACCCCCTGGTTTGGCAGGGGTTTCCCAATTTGGAGGGGCTCTTTCCTGCCTACCAGCCAGCTGGGGACTTTGAGTGACCTGGCAACCCTACCCTTCCTCCATAAAAAATATTTAAAATTAAATTTTACAACTGAATTGGTATAAAGATGGACATAATCCACCCTGAATTATGTTTATACCAATGCAGTCGAAGTATGTATTAGGGTTGATGAGGCGAAGCATCACACAATAATGGCGGAGACTTAGAATCAGAGCTCCTGATCCCGACTTCTAAACCAGCCAACTCTGAGCACAGACCCAGCCACTGACAGAAGAAAGAGATGGGGAAACTGGAGGAGGGAAAATTAAGACCTCCATGGCAGCCCCCCCCCCCCTTTGGTAAAGGCCTTCAACTAGTTTTCCATTCACTCCACTGACAGGAATATTGTGACTCCAGGTTGTCAGAACATACTTAATGGTGAATGTTGTGTGTTAACCACCACCACTATTGTAGAAGCCTAATCGGCAGAAAGAGAACCTGTCAGTGGAGGGAATGGAAAACTAGTTGAAGGAGAATTGTTGAAACTTTATTTCAGTGAGCAGGGCTTTTTTTGTAGAAAAAGCCCAGCAGGAACCCATTAACATAATAGGCCACACCCAACAGCAGAAACTCATTAGCATATTAAACCACACCCCTGACCGCACAGCTCATTAGCATATTAGGCCACACCCACATGTTACCAGAAGTGTGGTCATCCAGCTACACCCACCTTTTGCTTCTTATTCTGTTTGTTGTCAAAACCTTGGGCTTTTTTTGTAGCAGGAACTTCTTTGCATGTTAGGCCACACACCCCTAATGTAGTCAATCCTAATGAGTTTATGCTGTTAGGTGTGGCCTGTTATGCTAATGAGTTCCTGCAGGGTGTGGCCAACTCAGGAGCCAGCCGGAACTCTGTTCCTGTGTGTTCCTGCCCAAAAATAGCCCTGTCAGTGAGTATGTATGTGCTGATAACTGGGGATGTAGTAAATATGTTGTAATATAGTGGATGTTACATAGAAGTATATTTTCAGTTTCACAGTTAAAGAGTACCAGCTATCTGAAGAAGCAAAACGTAAACGCAGCAGTGAAGCCAGCCATGTATAGCTGCTGCTCATACAAGACGTAGAACCTTTGCTCTCCTGAAGTTTTTTTATACAAAGGATTTGTGGACTTCATTTGAGTTTTCCCTTTGTATCAAGTACTTTTTGATCCTAGCTCTTTAAGAATATATAAGGGTTTGCTAACTTTAACAAAGATTTAAAACTGTTTGAATTGTTCTGTACAATATAATCTTTCTGCTTTTGTTCGTAATTCATTCACGGTATCTTTATATTGATACAATCTCCAGGTGAGGGCTGGAGATCATGCCAAATTACAACTGCTGTCCAGATAGCAGAGATCAGCTCCCCTGGAGAAAATGGTGGGCTCTGTGTCATTATACCCTGCTGAGGTGGCCCACCCATGACAGCTAGTAGCAGTTAGTGCTTCAGAGTAGGTTCTGCTAGACCCAGGTTCTTCTTGTGGAAGATGATTGGGTGATTTCAGACCACTCACAGACATTCAGCCTAACCTACGTCACAGAGTTGTTGTGCAAATCGAAAGGGGGAGAGGAGAATGATGTGAGCTGCTCTGGTCCCCACTGTGGAGAAAGACTTGTACTTTTCCTAGGTAGAGGCTGCAGGGAGGGGGGAGGAGATGGAAACCTGAAGTCAGAGGGGCAGATAATGGTACATTGATGGTTGGCTGGGAAGGAGAGAGGGTTGCCACCTCCAGGCTGGGAAACCCCTGGAGATTTGAGGGGTGGAGCCTGGAGAGGGGGGTTTGAGGAGGGGTGAGTCCTCAGAGAGGTACAATGTGGTAGACTCTACCCTCCAAACCAGCCACAGGCAAGGATGAGACATCATGAAGAGTTGATGTGGGATATGATAGATGCTTTTTGGAGGGGGAGCAGGATCTGAAGCTGCCTGAACCAGTTTAGAAGGGGAGGGCTGGAGATCACTCAGAATTACAACTGCTCTTCTGATGGCAGAGATCAGTTCCCCTGGAGAAAACAGTGGACTCTGTGTCATTATACCCTGCTGAGGTCACCACAGCAAATTGATGCGGAGTGCCCAAGGCACCCAACCAGAACCTCTTTCTAGAGCTCGTTGTATTTATTTCCACAATGGGCCTTATTCCTAGTTATATATATTGTTAAAACTTGGATTAATCATTATTAGAAGAAAACCATCAAATATTCCACAGTCCTCTAATATTGTTGGTTAAATGTTAAGAATTTGATACCCTATACAAATGTATAACTCTTCTGTTATACTGTTATGTTACTTTCTATTTAATAGGAAAACACATTAAAAAAAGTTTTTTTTTTTAAAAAAGCATGTATTAGGGTTGCCAGACACGCCAGGCTTGGCTAGACCCCACTGCCCTCCTGTCGATCAGCTGGCCAGTGGTAGGGCTGCCAAATGCAGCCGGGGGGCGGGGAATCCCCCGTTTCGGAGCCCCGATTCCCGGCGCGCTGGAATCGGGGCCCGGGGGAAACCCCACCCCCGCGTGCGCGTCACCCGGAAGTGACGTCGCACGCTGGGGGCGGAGCCACGCCATTTGAGGGGAAAACAAAGAGTTTTCCCCTCAAACGGCGTGGCCCCGCCCAGCGTGTGACGTCACTTCCGGTGACGTCCTGGCGGCGCGCGCGCATGAAGCGCGCGCATCCCCCAGCAGCTCCAGGAACGGCCGGACGATCCCCCGCCGGTAAGAACTTCGGATTTGGCAACCCTAGCCAGTGGGGGGGGGGGGCTTACCCCC